TGGCCCTTCTTGCGCATGTCACCAGCCGCTTTCTGCAGTCGCAACCAGCATAGGTGCAGGGTACGTGTGTGTACGAGCATGGGTGTTTATACATGTGCATGTGAGTATGGGAAGAACAATGGTTCGATGGAGCGGGGCAGCAGCAAGCACAAGCGTCAGTTTCCAGGCCACCTCACACGGATGGTGAGAGGAAGTACGCACACACACAGACAGATAGGCAGACAGACAGACAAATAGGCAGACACACTCACTCACAGACGAATAGGCAGACACACACACACACAGACAAATAGGCAGACACACACACACACAGACAAATAGGCAGACACACACACGCACACACACACACATTGACACACACGCACGCACCTTGGATCTGAACTCTGAACCAAGACCGCCACGGGCGTCCTTGTTCTTCTTTCCCTTCACCGCTGCCGCCTTCTCCTGCGCCTTCTGCGCCTTAAGTGCTTGTTTCTGCTGCTTCTTGGTGTTGACGCGCGCGCGCTTCGTGTTCAGCTCACCGCCTTCCTCATCATCGCTGCTGTCCTCGCCGTCATACGCACCATCGCCCCACTTCTCTGCCTCGAGGGCCGCTTGCTCAGCCATCCTGACAATCACGGCACGGCAGCGTTGCAGCGATGATGGGAACACATTTGATGCGTACGTGAGCATGTGTGCATGTGCATGAGCATGTGCATGTGCATGTGCATGTGCATGTGTGTGTGCATGCGCACGCTCCCGGTCGTCGGGTTGACCACGCGCCAAGTTCGCAGGATGGGTCAACTCACGCTTTGCGGTCGCGATGAATGCCGCGGCCAAACGTCAGGCCACCGGCGCCCTCGTTCTCCTCCGCATCATCATCATCGCCATCGTCGTCGAAGTCATCCACCATGTCCATGCCTGCAAGCATTCACGCGCAAGCATCAGTTGCATTCGAAAGCAAAAACAACAACAACAACAAAAAAGATGGCGTGATGTGTGGGGTGACGCACAGCGAGAGTTCTCCGTGCGCGTGCAATCACAGTCGACTGTAGGGCGTTGGAGTGCTGGATGTGTATGTTGTGTCGCTCTTACCGGCACCAGGGACGAGATGGCGCTTAGACAGACGGCCCTTCTTGCCTGTGGGGGCAACAGCGCAATGGCAAGCAACTTCGTGAGCCATCCACGACACACTGACACAGACGCACACACACACACATACACACACAGAGACACACACACAGACACAAGCACAGACACACACCAAAAACAACTATCCTTCCCCCTTCACAAAAGTACGGCATGGCTGGTGGGCGTACCGTGCTGGAGCTCTTCAAGGTCTTCAACAAGGAGACGGCCGTCGTCAAGCGACTTGATGTCATCAGAGTCAATCTTGTCCCCCTGACATACGCATGCACACACATACACACGCACACACATACACACGCACACACACACACACACACACACGCACACACACACACACATACACACGCACACACACACACACGCACACACACACACACACACACACACACACACGCATTCAGATGCACACATGCATACACGGACAGGGGATGGTGCACACGTGAACACATGTCGCGAACAAGTGCAAAGTGCAGACACGCAATCACGCTGACACAGACATAACACACACACACACGCACATGCACACACACACACACAAAGTAGACCACCACTGCCATGTACGAACCTTTGTGCCCTTCTTCTTTGATGCCTTTGACTTGAGGCGGGAGGCAGCCTTGATATCTGAGGTGATGTTCGAGAGAATGCCACGGTCCATCAGGTCCAGTGGCGTGTCGTCCTGTTTTCGTCAAACACAGCAGCCGCGATCACAGTGGTGGTGGTGTGTGTTGTGTGATGTGTGTGTGTGTGTGTGTGCGTGTTGTGTGATGTGTGTGAGTTACGTGTGAGATTGGGCACACCAATCTAGCTAGGATGGAACAACGTGATAACCGAGGTGAACAATCATCCCTTGGCAATACTTTGGTGATGCGTGCAAACCAGCCAACGAGAGGGTACACATGCACCACGTGCACATGGCACAGCGAAGGCAAGGCGCGCGCGGTGCACCTCGGCATCGTCGCGAAGGAACGTCTTGACTGTGGACGCCTTGCGCACCAAGTTGCCCTGAGCATCAAACTCTGTCAACAAGAGCAGATCAACAAAAGAAGCAGAGCAAGACCAAGCACGGCAAGAGCAGGGGCAACATAGAGCAGCATGAAACATGCGTGTGTGTGTTTGTGATGGAGTGTAGGTGAGGCGTATGATTTGAGTCAGTGCATGTGTTTGAAGCGTGCATGCGCGTGCGATATGGTGTGCTTGCATGCAACAAAAAGCAGCTGTGTGTGTGCGTGTGTGCGTGCGTGTGAGCGTGACTCATCAGCAACGTTGTCACTCCAAGGTCCCAAGCAATGCCGCACCTTGGACGTCATTGTCATCGTCATCGTCGTCGTCGACAAAATCCTTATCGTCCATAATCTCTTGGAACGACAGGTTCCCGCGCTTTGTGCGCACACGCCCCTCGCCCTGAACACACACACATACATAAAAAGGGATGATTGCAAAGTGAGGAAAGCACAAGCAAGTCAACAGGCCGCAGCGGCTGCAATCACGCGTTCTCCTATCCACGCAACACACACACAGCCACAAACACAAATTTCCACCTTCAACCATACATTCAACTGCACACATCGAACAAGACATTGCCCACTGCACCTGTGCGTCCTGCTTGTCGTCGCCCTGCTCGTTCATGCGCGCCTGCTTGTTGCGCTGGTGGTTCTCGGCCTTGCGGATGTTGGTGATGAGACGGTGGTGCTGCGGCGGCACAATCTCAAGCAGCCGGTCAGACCTGCCAGCAAGCCAGCGAGCGGTCGTGAGCGGTGGTGGTCGATGCGAGCAGTCAGGCATGCGTTGTTGAGCGGTGGAGGGAGGCACACAACACTCCCTCTCCCCCGTCCCCCCCCCCACACACACACGTACCCGTAGCGGCGCACGAGGCGACGAAGGAGGATTTTGATCTTGTCGTGGTGGCGGTGGCGGCGGTCCTTGGGCATGTTGAAGATGGCCTCAACAACGCTCTTCATGTGCTTGTCAAATTCGTCGTGGGGAAGCGTCGACATGCACATTGACACATACTCAAGCACGCTCTGGTTGGTGTGGGGTGGGATGGGGGCAAGGGGGCAGATGCGAGGTGTGAGGAATAACGAGGCAGCGGTACTCGTGTAAAGTCAGCAGTGGACTACACGAACGTGTTGTTGCAACAGGGACAACGGGAGCAAGTTGGCAGAGCTCACGCACGCCCAGACACTCACAAACACACTCACAAACACACACACACACACACACACACACACACACTCTCTCTCTCTCTCTGTCTCTCGCACGCACGCACACGCAAACGCACACACACACACACACAGACACACACACACACAGACACACACACACACACGCACTCTCGCACACAGCCATTCACAGCCACACCCATGTACCGACCTTGTTGACTTCACGTGATGGGGATGAGAGGAGGAGGAGAAGCATGGCTGTCGTCTGGTCAAGCAAGTGCTGGCTAAACTCCTCCTTGAACTCAAAGATGACGCGTGAGATGCAGGAGACGGTTGCGCTGATCATGTGCGGCGTGGTGCCGGCCAGACCGGCCACGATCATCTGGAACAGATCATCCATCGTCAGCTCGCATCCCTCCATGCCCTGCAAAGGTGATGAGTGAATAGGAGCGATGTGAGAGCGGGTGGGAGTTGGGGTAGCATAATGTGGGTGAATTGGTGGTCATTGCACGAAGAACAACTTCATACAGGAAGCAGAGCGCGAGCAAGCGACAGAGGCAGAGGTTCCAACATCCAGTCCACATGCAGTGCACATGCAGTGCCGCGTGTGCTGACCTGGTGCGCGAGGGCGAGTTCGCACATGAGGATGAGCACCTCGTACGCGACGTCGCGCGTCGCCTCGTTGACCTCCTTCGACGCCAACATCACCTCCACGAGCGACTCATCAACCGTCGCCTTCAGCCGGCTCGGCTGCACATGCGATGGTGACGACGATAGTGATGGCCGTTGGTGTGTGAGCAGTGAAAAGGAAAGAAGAACAAGGGGAAGAAACATGAGCGAGAACACACACCCACACACACACACCCACACCCACACCCACACCCACACCCACACCCACACCCACACCCACACCCACACCCACACCCACACCCACACCCACACCCACACCCACACCCACACCCACACCCACACCCACACCCACACACACACACACACACACACACACACACACACACACACACCGGTGTCTCTGAGAGAATGGAGTGGATGCACTTGAGGCGCAGGCCTTTGGAGCCGGGGCGGGCAGATAGCGCGGCGTTCTTGAGCACACCCTGCATAGTGGTGATGGTGGTGGTGATGGTGGTGGTGATGGTGGCGGTCACGGAGTGAGGGGTGGGGGGCGGGGGCAAACTTGCCGTGCACGCAGTCAAACAAAGGAACACAGAAGAACAACCAACACCACCACGACCAGTGCCCAGCGAACAACGAAACAGAACAATACAGCGCAAAGGAACACACGCAGCCAGACGCATCAGCGGCAACAACGTACCTGGAGGTGCTCGAGGTTGTCGAGGAAGAACCGGCGGAGCGGCTGCCTGGATGCCGAGCACACGGACAGCAGCAGGCGGTAGCCACGCTTCTGCACCTTCTCCGAGACAGTGTCACGCAGGGAGTACACGAGCACCTTCTTGAGGTGTTCAAGCTGCTCCGGCTGCTCAAGGTCCGGCACAAGCGCGTTGATGATGTCAAGCAGGCGCAGGCATTGCTGTTGGAGATGGGATGGTGATGCGGGGTTGGTGTGGTGTGATGTGAGGAGGACGTGCGGGAAGAGGATGAGAGTGGTATGCAGTGAATAGCGATGTTCCCAGCAGCAACATACGCATGTCAATCAGCACACACACACACATGGACACACACACACACACATGGACACACACACACACACACAGAGCTTGGCAGGTGGTGCGGACCTCCGATGTCTCGTCGGCCTCGAGGAGCTGCTTGAGTGCGGACGCGAAATACGGCGACTTTTGCGCCGGCGACATGAGGCCGAAGAACGCCTGCAGCACGTGGCACCACCAACGCGGAGTGGGGGAAGGGGGAAGGAGAGGAGTGTGTTGTGGAGGGCGCGTGTGAGTGTGTGTGAGTGTGTGTGAGAGAAAGCGGTTGACACTGTGGTGCGGTACAGTCACGAGAAAGTGTGTCAATTCACGTGAACGTATTCGCATGCGAACCAATAAGTGCAAAAGCGTGCAACTGACGGTGATTGTGTTGTTGAGTGCGGCACGCTTGTCTGTGCTTTGCTCGGCGAGATACAACCGCAGCAGGATCTGCATGAAGTTGCGGGAGTATTGCGCAATGGCCTTGGCATCCTCCTCCACCTCGCCTGCAGGGGAGCACGATTATTGAGAGAGAGAGAGAAGGGGGGGGGGTGAGACGTGTGGTGTGACGTTTACAAGTTCGCTCGGACTGTCATGACAGGGGGACGGGCGGAATGTACATACACACATGTGCATGCACACACACACACAAAAACAAACAAACAAGCAAACAAGCAAATACACATACATACATACATACATACATACATACATACATACATACATACATACATACACACAGACAAACACAAATATGCATGCATGTGTGCATGCACACACATGCACGCACATACACAAGCGCGCATTCGCACGTGTGCGGACCTCGGGTGGTGATGAGGTTGACGAGTGCCTTGCAGATGACGCCGCGAAGATCGTTGTGGTCGCGCAGGGCGAGGCCAAGCGTCTACAGCGGTGCCAAGCAAATTACATGCAGGCAAGTTGAGTATCATACAAAATGCACATATGCATGCAGGCAAGCAGATCATGGCGAGGGCCTGGCGACAAGAGTAACGTGGAAGCCACCACAGGTTGATTGCACGCGAACAATTGATGTATGAAGACGGTGTGCACCTTTGCAAAGGTGGGGAAGGTCTGTGCTGTGTCGCTCGGGTTGGTGAAGAAGGACGGAAGCAACAGCCACAGCTGTTGGGCAACATATGAACACAGTGGAGGCGACACAGGGAGATGTGGTGTGAGCATACGAGACGCGCGAGGCCAATATGTTCAAGGCAACCTTCAACAACGTCCAGCGGCATTTGCAACCAACACACACACACTCACGCACACGCACACACTCACGCACACGCACACACACGCACACACGCACACCCTACACAACACCATCACCACCACCACCACCACCACCACCGCTATCAGAGGACGTGCAGTGAGACCTGGAAGTAGAGCTGGTCGTATGTCTTTGCAGCAAGCGCCTGCCCAGCCTCCTTCGCCGCCTGCTTCCGCTTGTACATGCGCATGGCAAGCGGGAACAGCTCCCGGCTGAAAAACGCAATCTGATCGAGCATGCACATGCGTGTTGGTGTGTTGCGTGTGTATGCACGAGTGTTGATTGTGGGTGTACGTGTGTGAGTGAGCAGGGACGTGTGTGAGTGTGTGCATACACACGTTTGCATACGCGCATGCGTGCACGTGTTTATCGGCGCACAAACACATGGAAATATATCAACGCATGGCAGCAGCAGCAGTGCATGTGACTCACGGTGTTGTTTGCGACGTTGTCCTTGAGCAGTGGCAGCAGCCACGCGCGAGGGAACTCGCTTTGCTCCTCCTGTAACACAAAGGCGTTGGGTGTTTGTGTGTGTATGTGCGTGTGTGTGTGTGTGTGTGTGAGGGAGTGAGGCAGGAACAGTGATTAGAGTGAGACGATGAAACAGGAGAGAAGATACACGCAACCAACCACCAACCCACACAAGCATATACGAAACAACGTGACATGTCACCTCTTCTTCGAGCTTGAGAGGAAGGATCTTCAGGAATTCCTCTGCACCGATGGAGCGAATGCAGTGCTTGATGGTGTCCTCAACATTGCCCTTGCACGACACACCAGGCGTCTCGTGCAGCTGCGCACACGATGAGATGGGGGGGGGGGTCGAGGGTTGGTGTGAGCGATGTGATTTGGGGGAGGGGGGGCTTTCACACACGTTTTCACGTATTGCACATACAACGTCAACGTCAACGGGCCACCACCACCACCACCACCAGCACAGCAAGTGCAACTGCACGAACAACACTACAACTGCCACGATAATCCAACGGACCTGGACGAGGGAGTTGACGAGGCTGCCGAGGTTGGCAATGCGGCAGGCGGCGAGGGCGTCCACGAGATCAGAGATGCAGCGCAGCACCTCCTCAAATGCAATCTGGAACCGGTACGACAGGCCTGCACACGCAAGCATCATAGTGGCGGTGGCGGTGGTGATGATGGTGGTGAGGGAAGGGCGGATTCATGACGAAGGTGTGGTTGGAAGCTCTCATATCAGGCGCACGGTGCCAGTACGTGTGCACGCGTGTGTGAGCGTTAGTCAGAGCAAGCAAGCAAAACATCAAGTGAGCAATCAAGTGAGTACACGGGCGGAGCATCCAACGTACTCTCGTCCATCTTCTGAATGAGGGACTGAATGCAGCCCTGCACGGCGTCTGCGTCTGCCTCGGTGGCCTTGTCCAGCATGGCCTTCACGCCAACACGGAACAGCGTCTGGTGGACACAACAAGCAGCAGCAACACAGGAGCATATGAGCATGGTGGGATGTTGGTGCGACGACGTTGGTGCGATGAAGGCGAATGAGTGTGACGTGCAGTCAAAGGTTTGCGGTGAAAACGCTGTGGGCGCGTGCATGCTGGTATGATTGGGCATACAACGAAGCACAAGTATGCTTCACCGTGTCATCCCACCACTGTCACTGTGTCTTCACCACCACCGTCATCACACTACACCGCCACCGCCACAGTCACGCACCCTGAAGTTAGCGGCTGCGCTTGAGATGAGCGCCTTTGATCGGTCCTGCAGACATTCGCGCAGAGAAGATGTGGTGGCCGAGATGGCCGCCGCGCCCTCGTGTGCACTCATCCTGTAGGAAACGTGTTGAATGGTGTGTGTGTGTGTGTGGAGTGTTGAGTTCGTGACTTACACACACAAAGGGACCACTATCACGTGCAGCCACACAGACACACACATACAGACAGACAGACACACACACACATACAGACAGACAGACACAGACACAGACACAGACAGACAGACACACACACAATGCAAGCGTGTGCAAGCGGGTTGCGCGTACTGTGCGATGCAGACGGCGGCGCGGGTGACGGTTGTGTTCCATGTGCAGCGTGGCGCAACATCCTTCACAGCAGGGCAGTTGGGCACAAAGCTCTTGTACACATCCACTGCAGTCGACACAGGCAGCTCCTGGCTCAGCGGCGACGCAAAGAACGCTGGATGGCGATGATGATGGTGATGATGATGATGATGATGATGATGATGATGATGATGATGATGATGATGATGATGATGATGGTGGTGGTGATGATGAGGGGCGTACGATCACAGCTCGTTTCACGTCATGGCGAATGGAATGAAAGAATACAAAGGCAACCCAAAGCCCCAGACAAACGTGTACACATGTACACACCTGTGAAAGCGTTGAGGCAGGTGGTCGTGGCAACTGCGTTTCCGAGCAGCAGCGTGTTGGCCATTGCCCGCGCCAGCTCTGCACACACACACACACACACACACATACATAAATGGAGGGCGGAGGTGTCACACAACGACAAAGCAATGATGTGATGAGTATGCGTATGGCCGTGCATGTCAAAGGTTGGGCATCCTGATGTGGTCGTGATCAACTGCAAAGTGTGCTTCTATGTGTGTGTGTATATATATGTGTGTGTGCGTGTGCGTGCGTGTACATGTGTGTGCGTGTATGTGTCGCACCTGAGACCATGTTAGGCGGGAAGAAGAAGAGTGTGGACTTGAGGATGCCGAGCACATACAACACGTTCTTGTCAGCCGTTTTCCTGCCCGTACTCAGCTGGTCGAGGAAGAACGACGCAGCAAGCCTGGGGATGTGGTGGTGGTGGTGGTGTGTGTGTGTGTGTGTGTGTGTGTGTGTGTGTGTGTGTGTTTGTGAGAGGATGCTGTGCTTGCGTGTTGTGAAGGCATGCGAAAGTCCAAGCAGAGGACATGGCCACCAAACGGCACAGCGGCAGAAGGACAAACACGAGTGCATACTTCATAAACGTTGTCTTCTTGTGGGCGTGGAGCTCGAGGATGTCTGTGACGGCAATCTGGGCGGCGTGGCGGACCTGGTGTGCACAGTCGTGGCATGACAAGTATCAACGATGATGGCGATGATGATCATGAGGAGGAGGAAGCGAAGCACGCACACACACACACACACACACACAAGCACAACCGCATGCAAACGCAAACACACACACACACACACACACACACACACACACAACCGCATGCACAACCTTTGGGCGGGCGTCGGTGGTGAACTGCAGGAGCTGCTGTGCGAGCTCGCGTGTGCGTGCGTCCTTCCACGTCGTACTCGGCGCAGCGCGCAACTGGAACTTGATGCACACAATCCCCTGCAGTGGTGCAACGAGGCAAGGCAAGGACATCGTGAGGTGTACATCGTCGAGATTGATATGGCTCGATGGCTGAAGCACAGGTGCACGAACACGAGCGAATGCAATTGCACAACACACACACACACACTCACACACACTCACACACACACACAACACAACACACACACAACACAACACACACACACACACACACAAGCTATCATTCAGCACACAACACGTCCTCTGCCGCCGCACCTTGACGACTGGGCGGTTGCCGAGGTCTGGGTTGTGGCCAAAGTTGGCAATGACTTTGGCCAGCAGCTCCACAGCGGTGTCGTGGCGCTTCCCCAAGATGGCACGCGGGACACTGCACACCACGGGCATACAACGTGCATGTGTGTGCGAGTGTGTGTGTGTGTGTGTGTGCAAAGAGACACGCATACAGCGTGAGGAGAGGCCCCGTGAAGTGGGCATACAGCGAGCAAGGATTGAGATTTGCGTGAAGTATGTATGGTGGGTGGTGGTGCACTGTTATGCATTCGATTCCAATCAACGTGTCGTTGAAACTAGACGTACGCCTTGCAGACGAGGCTGAGGAGGTAGAGCACGGCGCCGACCGAATCGCTCTCCGACGGGCGATCCACCAGCGAGCCGAGCGTGGACATGAGCGCTGCCCAGTATGTGGCGGGCGTCTCGCCCAGCTCCTTGGCCTGGATGTTCTCTGTGATGGCTGCAAAGACGGCGCACGTCTCCTGCCACAGCACCACCATCATGAACAAGAGCAAAGGGCGTATGAGAAACTGAAACAGCAATCACACTTTCTTGAACTGGAGCAAACGGAGGAACAACTGCACAAACGACGACCAAGTGGTGCATGCGCGGGCAGAGAGGAGATGGCAGATCAGCAGCGCCTCGTGTACGCACCAGATCGGCTGGCTTCTGGGAGTTCCACACTTTCTTGACAGGGGCGAAGATGGTCTCCACAATCTCGTTCTCGGGAAGCTCTCCAAGCGCAGTGGCTGTGTCGGGCACAATCGCGCACGCAGCAACGAAACAAAGGGGAAGAGGGGGAGGGGGAGGGCGATCGAGAAGGTGGGTCAGAACTCCGATGCATGCAATGAATGCCGGCAGGCACCTTTCGTTGCCATCGAGCAAACAAGGCATCATCCATCGAGCAAACAAGGCATCAGCCATCAGTCAGGGTCAGTAGCAACACCAACAACAACCACACACATACACACACATACACGCACACGCACATGCACGCATACACACATGCACACACACGCGCGCGCGCGCAAACACACACGCACACAGGCACACACAGAAGACGCACTTGCGATGGACTTCATGTCTGCTTCGACATCTGTTGTGTTGTCGCCTTGCTGCATGTTATGCACGTCCAAAGCGGCTTTTGTCAAGGCACCGGCGCCGGACTTGGCACCCTTGCGCTTGGGGCGCTGCCTGCCAGAGGCAACAGCCGCAGATTGGCGGTGTTTGGTGTTCTTGGGGTTCACAAGGCTGGACGGCCCTGTCCACCGCCGACGCTTGTTCATGACAGGCATGGCGACGCTCGCTGGCTGGTTCAACGAAGACTTGCTCCGCTGGCTGTGGCTGTGGCTGTAGGTTGTCGTGCGAGCAGCTTGGTCTTTTGGGTGGTGGTCCTTTGCACGTGTGTGGTTGTGTTGCGGGAAATAAAACAGGCTTGGAAATAACATGGGTTTGATTCGATGCACAATTACTGTTGCAGAATAAAAAAAATAAAATAAATTCTCCCTCCTCCCCCTTTTTGCGCGTCCTTCGACAACACCAACAACAACACCAAGCCAGCTGCGCATTCAGGACACACACCACCACAAAGCCACAAAAGCCACGAAGCCAAAGGAACGCTTGCTCCCTGAGCTGAGTGAGAAGAGTGCTGTTGTGCTTGCTTGTCATTGTCTTCACCGGTGTGTGTTTGCTGTTGCTCTTCGTGGGGGAAACCACTGCGACCGGCGCCATGTCTTTTCTCGAGACTGTGTTGCAAGACATGTTCGTGGATCCAGAGATCCTCGAAGAACTGTCCAAGGATCAGGTGCGTCCACTGCTGTTGTGTTCGGTTGGGAAAAGATGTTGCAGAGGGCATGAAGGACATGATGAAGGAACGGCGTGCTTTTGTGCGTGCGCGTGTGAGTGTGAGTGTGCGCGAAGACACGTGTCGTTGTGCTGACGCCATCATGTGTGCAAGCATAAATAATATTTGAGTGCGTGAGAGGGAGGGTCACGTCACACAGGTTTGACACTGCGCTTATGTGTTTGCGTGTTTGGTGCACAGCGGGAGATTCTCTTTGAGCTCATGCGTGAGGAGCAGATTCGCCGCTGGAAGTCCAGAGAGCATTCGGTGTGTGTGTGTGTGTGTGTGTATGTGCGTGCGTGCTGCGTTGTGTGCGTGCTGCGTTGTGTGTGTGTGTGTTTTGTGTGTGTGGCTGTGTGTGTGGCTGTGTGTGTGACTGTGTTCGTATTGCTGTTGTCTGTGTGTGTGTGTGGATGTTTTCATATCGACGTTTCATCGTATCACCCCACCTTATGTTCTGTACTGTGCTTGTCTTCTTCATGTATGCTCACGCAACGCTGGCTGTGCGACCAACGCAGGACCTGTGGAAGTTGCAAGCCAAGAAGAAGAAGCCGGCCCGCATTCAGTGGGCCTCCACGGCTGTAATCTGGGACGATGTTGACGCCGAGAAGGCATGTCGTACCACCCAATCTTGCCTCACTTGCACAAACACACACATACACACACGCACGCACGCAAAGAAAGGTGCCAAGCCAGCCCATGCCTCACGTGTTTGCCTTGTATACTTGTACGTGCGTGTGCGTGCGCCTGTGCGTGTGCGTGTGCGTATGACAGAAAGCGGCAGAGGCGGCAAAGCGGCTCGAGCAAATTGAACGCGAGCGCGCGGCCAAAGAGGAGGAA